AAGGCCTTATGCTGTAAAATGAAATAGAAGTATTAAGAAACTAGTTCCCACAAGGAACTTCATCTCAAGAAAAGGGGGGACTTGGTAAGGACCACAGAACAGAGCAGCACAGCCTTGAAGAAGTGGATGAAGGATGTAACTTAGGCAAACAGAAGTCATGCAAAACAAAAGCAGGATGCCAGCTCAGCTCTGCAAAGCTGACAAAGCAGAAGTTATTGTGCAAAAAATGATATTGTGCTTACTCAAAAGTGAGGGCCGAGGGACAGCCACCTAAAAAGTACACTGGATATTGAAGACAGAACCCCAAGAACTATAAGGACTTCCAATAATGGGTGCAAATTTGTAAAATAAAGTAATAAATATACATCAAAGTAAGAAGGGATAGCGAATGAACATGTAATCAGTGTGTACGATAAAAACTCTGTTCACCTGACACTCGGGGCACTCAATTAGAGGAGGGATCCTCTGAGTGACCAGCACAGTGTAATAAAGAATGCCTGCTTTCCAATACTCAAAACTGTGTTAGAAAGTTTCTATTTGGCCAATTTCACTAATGCCTTCTGGCACAGCTTTGAATTATTTCCCTGTGCCCTGTCAGTGTATCCCAGGGAGAACTTTGAAAGCATGATGAGACACCCAGACACAGACACAAGGTGCAGGTGACCAAGGAGGGAGCAATATGGGAAGGTAGAAGCTGGAAATAAGAAATTATATTCCTTTTTTTCTCTCTGATGCCATGTACCTACAGGGATGGAAGGTCTGCTGTGACAGCACCAGGTGGAGGAGGCTGATGTGGCCAACCTGTGGACTATGACATTCCTGAGCAATGGGTTGTGACCTTACTCCCCTCACTGCTTATCTTGGGGTGACCAGAAGGTGAAAGGTTTTGCTGTCACTGATGAGTGGGGACTGATATCACCAAGCAGTGGACTGTGACATCACAGAAGGAATGGATGACGACCTTGTGTTCCTCACTGCTTCTACTCAGTTGGCAGAGCTTGGGCCAGTCTGGCTGCAGCCTGAACTCCATCCAAGCAACATTGTGAGGACTGGAGGATCAAGCCAGGCTTCTCTAGTGCTGGGTGGTGCCTGTTACTGGCCCATCTTGGTGCCAGCCTCAGAGCCATCACTCCTGTTTTCCCTGCCCTGCCTGCTTCAGGCAGCCAAGCACTGCAGATGCAGCACTGAGGGTAAGCTGTGCAGGAAAATGTCCAACCAGGGCGGCTGTGGGGTGCATGACAGGACTCAGAGAGCTGGGAGGGTGGCCTTCCCCAGGAGCCTGGCCATTTCTTCCTCCCTGCCCCAGAACAGCTGATGACCATGGCCTCTCCCTCCTGCAGGAGGTGGCAGCAGTGAGGGAAAACAGCCGCTGATCCTTATCTCTCCCCAGTGTGCTGAAGAGCACAAAAATGTCCACAGAGACTGACAGCAACTTCCCCGTCCGCCAGGACACTTTTAAGGATGTGGCTTCTACTTTGCCCTGTCACCACCAGTTTTGTCTGGGCTGTATCCTGCGGTGGACACAGAGAAATCCAGTGTGCCCACTCTGCAGAGGAGCAATAGTGACTGTGCGATTTTCTGATCATGGAGAAGATGACTATCTGGAGATACCCATCACAGTCCCTGAGGAGCTGCCAGATGGCAGCAGCCAGGCAGAGAGAGCTCCTGGCTCTCTGGATGAGAACAGCTCCCATCCTCCTGTGGTGTCCCCTTCATCTTCTCCACAGGGGACAGTGTCTCCAGCAGAGCAGGAAGGTTCAGGGCTGGAGTTTGTGGGGAGTGTCCTGCCTGAGGTCTGGGCAGAAACTTTCCGTCAACAACAGCATCTCCTGGAATCCGTGCGGCCCTGGCTGCATGAGAGGCTGGCAGGAATATACCAGGGCTGGTGGTGGGTGGTAGATGCCATAGAGAGCAGCATCTTGCATGGCCTTTGCATCCACGGGCCAAATGCTGGGGTTCTGGTTGAGGTGCTGCAGCCTCTCCTCGAGGAACACACAGCACCACTGGTCCATGATGTGATCAGCATCATTATGGGCCAGCACCGTGAGGAGGCCCAGAGGCTTCTGCCCACAGAAGATGAGAACAATGGCCCTGAGGCCAGCTCCAGCTCCAGCTCCACCAGTTCCAGCTCCAGCTCCAGCTCCAGCAATTCCAGGATCTCCAGCTCCAGCAATTCCAGGATCTCCAGCTCCAGCAACTCTAGGAGTTCCAGCTTCAGCAGCAACAGCTGCAGCTGCAGCTCCAGCAGCAACAGCTGCAGCTCCAGCAGTTCCCAGCAAGGGACTCCCAACAGCAGCCCCACAGGCTCCGATGAGGAGGAGGAAGCTGGTGCATCAGAGGCTTCCCCCTGTCCAGGGCATCAATTGCATCTGCTCCCAGGGTAGGGACTGATTGTGCACTGGGCCCCCACATGTCTGACAAAAGGAAGAGCCCGGGCCCTAGAACCCTCCCCAGGCCTGCCAGAGGCTGCTCCACCAGTAGCTCTAGCAGGGCTCTTGCAAACCTTTTTCAAGGAGAAGGAAATAAATTGTGATTTCCCTCAGAAAATCTCTGGGTACTGCTGTGGGCGGCACTCAGGCACTGGGGGGCACAGCCATGGGGTCCCAGAGCCATATGGCCATGGCAGCAGCACCTCTTCCCACAGCTTCTGCTGCAGCTGCACACCCACAGAGCAGCAGAAGCCATAGGCACAGCAGGCATCAGGGGCAGCTGGTCCTGCCACAGGACCATGCCCTCAGCCTGCCTCTATATTTTCTCTTACCTGCCCACTTGGCAGAGGGGAGTGATAGAGTGGCTTTGCTGGGTGCCTGGACAGGGTCCATGCAGGGTCAGTCTCTTGCAGCACGGGTGGCTGCAACAAACCTTTTCAGGGCAGAGGGTGGAGAAAATAAATAGGGATGGGTATGATTGTGTGACCCAAAAAAAAAGATCTTTAATAAGCAAAATAACAAACACATAATCCAAACACATATGGGGATGCACACAAGAGTCGAGGGACAGGGTAACACAGTAACTTATATAAACCAAGGTAGGGGCGGCATCTGAGGGAAAGGGACCAAAAAAAGCTGAGGATTAGGAATATGTAAGATAATGCATCAAATCTTAACCAGTGATAACAAAGAAACTATAGAACTCTCTGGCAACATTTACATAAAACTAAACAGGGGGCAATGTGGGTGATACTTTACTCTCCACAACTACATGGCCTTCAGTCAAGGTTTTTACCCACCCCAGCATAAATCCAGCAGATTTTTCACATCTTGTCCTGTATTGACTACCCCAAGGGCTACTGTATAAACAGTTTAATTTGTTCAGGACCCCACTTAAAATTATTCCTCTAAGTCACATCTGACTCTACTCTGCAATATGCATTCTCCAAAAACCCAGGGGGCCTAGGAAACTTCCCTCTTGCTCGGTCAGTGGGGACAGATCTGTTATTTTCTTGACTGAATTCATGGGAATTGCATGATATCCATCTTGATATTTTACTCCCAGAAGAGGAATTTCCTGGGAAGCTCCCTTGACCTTACTTTGTTTTATGACAAAACCAGCTTTCAGGAGGATCTGGATTATCTTCTCTCCTTTCCAAAACTTGCCCTGCTGTGCTGCCTCATACAATGATGTAATGGATGTACTGCAAATGTTCTAGAGCCTCACCCTTTTCCAGTGTCATGATAAATACTGGGGCTGTGTTTCCAGCCCCGGGGCTATACTGGATTCCTGTGCACTTGCAAACTGCACCTGCACTCTCCTGATGAAGTAATGGAGAAAAATGTGCCAGTTATGTCTATGGTGCTGTGGACTCCAGTTTACACTGAACTTTGTGCACGCCCAGCATGGCAGCACTCGGTGATGGTGTGCCGTGGTTTTAAAGCACAAGCTAAAAAAAAAAATGACTAAAAAACTTACTTCTTTCTTGCTGTGAGATATGGATTAGGGGAAGGGCAAAACAGACTTAAAAGGAATAAAGAAAATTTATTAACAAAACTACAAGAATAAGAAACCAGAATAAAAAAAAACTTCTTCCCCACCACTCAACTTTTTTTTGTCCAACTGACAACTTAGAGACAAAACTTGGTGGTTAAAGCAGTCACAACTACATAGTACATAGTATCCTTTTCATCAGTCTTTGTAGAGAAAAAGAAGTTCTCTTGTCATTCTATGGAGAGTTCTTGACAAGAAAACAGTTTTCTCATGACTTTCTATTCTTCTGATGCCAGCTGCCCGGAAAACTCTGCCATCAGGTTCTCCTCCCAATTCACACCACTCAGAGGTGTGTTCATGGGCCATGAACTCAAGGGATGTCATTTTAAGGATGAGTCATTCAAAGGCAAAGGCTCTCTTCATCTGTCTCTGTGAGCCTCTCTGGAAACAGAAGTTTTCTCTTTTTCCTCTTGGGGGCCACAAGTCTTTGGCAACTCTCACTTCTCTTTCTCTGTTCCAGCATTTCATGAGATCACAACTGCTTCACCATCTGCTCAGCTTCATCAATGGATTACTTTTGCTCAGATCTATGCTTTGAAATACTTCATACCCCTTTGAAATACTCTTTCATGAATTAAAGGAGTTTTTTTCACTACATTATTGTCCATCTCCATAACCTTAACAAAAGAATATTTCCACTTATTAGTGCATCTCCTCATCCTCTTCCCATCTGAGGCTTGATCCTTTCTT